TGAGGACAAGCAGTCGGGAAGGCCGCGCAAGCACAGTGTGGCGGATACTGGAAGTCCGGTGCTTGCCGGCGACTACGGAAGACAGCCGCTCGCTTGTCTCCCTGTGGCCGCATTTCGTACCAAGCGACATTTGCCAGATCCTAGAAAAAGACAAAGCGAATTTTTCTCATGAAAAAAAAAACAATCAGGTTACCTTGATGTTCAAGAGATCATCAATCGCTTGGTTATAGTAAATGCTGACATCATTGAAGAGGTAGAATACACCGATCACACAGACGGCAGTAGTCAGGCCGGTTGCGCCGGCGATGGCAGATGCTATTTTTGTTGCGGAACTCATTCTGAAAAATGAATTCTAAAAAAATTGAATTTCAGAGTTTTCAAATTTTTGGAGGTCCTCAGATTTAGTCAATCGTCTTACTTGTGTAGATCACTCTCAACAACATTTATAATGAACTCGCAAATGTGCCTAAAATCCTATTTTCCATACTTAAATAGAATTTCTTTGGGAAAATGTGGAGAGAAAGTAAGAATTTTCAGCTCGACACCAAATCAAATTTTGACTGCGAGTTGATGTAAAAGTAAACAATGTTCAGAAAATTATGATATTACACTTCGTGACTGATTCAAAAATTTTCTATGAATGAAATATTGAATACAATATTCACTGAACTTACCCATGTATCTGCAATGACCGGATCACAAACACATGGCATACCAGAAGCTTCTGCCTTTTATAGAGACTTCGTAGTAGTGATCGCGCAAAAACTCCACTCTAAATGGTAATTTGCTCGTCCACTACCGACAAACTATCTTTTTCAACAATCAATTGAATATGATCACATTTTACTCGTTTCTCCGAAAGGAGTCACTAGTGTTCCGATGCGTTTCTTTTGCTGACTTTTGCCTAATGTGACATTGTCATTGAGACCAGCAATGTGTACAACTGCTGCAATTTTTGGAGTGTCTGAGTGCTTGCGCGCCTCGACAAAAATGGAGCGCAATAAAGCCATTTTGTTAATGCATCTGTGCTACACGTACACGAGATACTTTTTTCCCGTTGCGCAGTTGTATTACTATTTTTTCACAGAAACTCTACCAGTAATTTTACGATTGAGATGATGGCTTCCATTTCGCTTTTATTACATCGTTCCACA